CCCCAAAACCCCAAAACCCCAAAACCCCAAAACCCCAAATTTCACGAAAATCATTGAACAGTCATCAGTTTCTTACAACGCTCGATAAACCAGCAGTTTCAAGATAAAGACCAACCTCGGTGAATTATGATTAGGAAAATAATTACGTTATAGGTACATCTCTGTGCTCTACTTGGAGCGAAGATTAGCTCTCTTTTTCTTGATTGATTTCATACTCAGAATACCATTAAATATGGACGGCAAGTCCTTATCACTATCTGGATTTGTAATCTCATAAGTCTCTGTTATAATATTTGTTTCTTCATTCTTCCGTCTAAAGATAAGGAGAATAATCTTACCTTTGATCAAGTCCTTGAAGACGATTTAAAATTAAATCTTTAGCAGACAAGATCGCAGTTTTTTCACGACTATTTCTTCTTATCACTCTGCTGTAATTTTCAGGTAAAATCGTTGTTTCTCTCTCTTTTAACTTCTGAGCGGATTTCTCAAAAGAGTTGTTGCCCAATTTAAAATTAATAATTGATAAGAAGGAGGTATGCTTTCCTCTGTTCCTGGTTCTAGTCTGAGGCTTCTCAGCTGAATTAGATTCTCTCAGTCTAGTGGAGATGATCTTATACTTTTCCTCCTGAGCTTTTATAAAGATATTAACTGCATGTCTTCCTCAGTTTTAGATGCATACTTATTTGCTCTGGGATCTCTATGTAAATTAATAAGAAACTATTACCTAAATTCGATATTTCTGGTGTCCCTAAGAGAGTGTAAAATTCTTTTATTTTTGTTAAGAACATTAGAGGCACCATTAGAATTCTTATCCCCTACTTTGTTGTCTCTAGTAATAGAGGGTTTGTGTCTTGATGATCCATTCCTAGAAGACCCTTTTGAATTAACATTCGTTGAATCAGAGTATTCATGAGAAATTTCATGAAGCTTTTTATGAATTTCTGCCTTTTTCGTTTCAAGTTTTACATCAGTATCCTTTCTTGTTGTTCTTCCGTTTCTTCCTTTCTCCTTCTGAACATCAATTCTAAGCATGCTTGCGTGTTTCCTCAGGATGAAAGTATCATCATTTTTAACTAGGGCTGGCTTAGATGAGGTATTGACTTTGCTCAGTTTCCTACTTCTTTTACTTTTCTGAGGAACGACAATAATTTTCTTGAGCTGTTTCTCATTACTCTTTACTAATTTATAAATACTCTTGTATTGATTGATGCTTGAGATGTCATACAAATTTTGCCTCTTCTTCACTTTCGGAGAGTAATGGATATTCATGGTCTCGCTGAATACTTTTCTTCTTGGTTTTTTGTATGCTATGCAACTATTTTCAAGTTTTAGGTCTGAACCTGCTTGCTTTCTGAGAAGTTTTTCCTTTCTAGAGACTTCGGGACAGAAGCTTCGAGAATGATTTTGAAGAACCATACTCATCTCCCTAATCATCTCAGGGTCATTCTTTTGGTAAGATTGGATGTATGGAGACTCTTCACCAAAATCATTATCTCCTTCCGCAGTAGCTGTTCAGTTTTGAGTATTATCATTAGTTTGAGGGAGGTCTTGAGGTATTTTGTTCAGAGATTTCTTCTTTGAAGTAGAATCAAAGCTATTCCAACAGATTCTATCTGCTTTGAGCTTATTATTGCTAATTCTCCTTCATCTGTTGCCATTTATGGTAAAGTTATAAAGTTTCCCTTTTGATTTAATCATTTTGTAAAATTAATTTCAATCTGTTTTTTAATAAATGGGGTTTTGGGGTTTTGGGGTTTTGGGGTTTTGGGG